CAGTGTGTGCCCGGGGAATCGACCGCCGCTCTTTCAAAAGTATGGAGGAACTTGGTGATTCAGTCTGTACCCGGCAGGTTCACCTGTGCTTTACAGGGCACCGGCGTTATTGAGCCCCACCCCACTACTGTGTACCCCCCCCCTTGGTGTTTGCCATCGGGATTGGGTTTTCGTCGCTTGGCAACGGCGCTGTAAGACAAAGCCAATTCACTTCGTGAACTCGGCAACCAGGTTACCGGGGTTTTTTGCCTCTGTTTTTTTTGTTGCGGTAACCATAATGGTGGTCGAGTAGATCATGTTGTGCGGGGTGGAGAAACCTCACTCTGCGCAAGGGGGGTGATCGCACCACGTTGTGTTAAAATGGTCAAGCATCCTCGAGGCAGTTACACAGTGCTTACAACTATCTCTGGAAGTGAACGCACCAGAAAATAAATTAAGTCATACGCAGCCGTCATCCGTACGCAAGGAAGTAAGCACAAGGTGTCGAACACCCTTAGCAGGATGCAGCGCACCCTTCATGCGACTCGCCCAATACCTCACGGCGCTTCGCGCTTGGTGATGTGAGAGCCTGGTCCGGTGAGAACCCGGCGTGCTCCGTCCCGGCTTTGTAGGGATGCGAGGTCAATGGTCTAACGACTACGGCATGCACGACTATGAGTACACCCCCCCCCCCCAACTACTCTGTGTTTCGTGTCACGTACTCCGACACGACAGGACGCTGCGGAAAGAAACAATATATAATAGTGTCGCACTTAAGAAAGGTGGTAGACTTGTGTTCGATAGCGTGGCACAGCGTGAGCTCACAGCAGCTTGTGCTGCGCCGCACTCGGAAAAGTGGCTTATTGCGCCGGCTCTCCGATGTTTGAGGACAGCGTATCCCAAGCGCCTTACCCCCGGGGCTTGACAACCCCCCCAGTGCCGAGACATCGGTCGTATGTACTTGATTATATGTTAACTCGAAGTATATAGCAGCGGTTCAACGTCGCGGCGGAACAACAGGCCCCCCCCCCGGAATACGGAAAAATCGGGGTCCCGTAGTACAAGAAGCACTACTGCTGCACCGCTTTGGTCGGACGACAGCGCGACGCCACAAGCCTAAGAATTCGCTGTTGTCTTTGGTCTGTTCTTTGCAAACACGGGCGGGGGACCCTTCGCAGGCGATGGCAAGGGAGATGCCGCGGTGGCCGGCCCGGGTCTGAGCCCGCGGTTTTTCGAGGACGCTAGAGCGCTGTTGGACAGGCTGGACAGCCCCGGCGTGCTCGGTCGGGCCTGCGAGGCCGCCGTCCGGGCCGTCCTGCCTTCCCTCGCGGACGTCAGGAAGCTTCTAGAGGTACGCGTACAACATGGGGTAGCCCTTTGAACTCCAACATGGTAGTCCTCTATTTTCCGAGTATTCTAGTTGGGGCGACTATTTTGGTGACAGGAAGGTTCTAGAGGTTGCATACAATGTGGTCATTTGTGTCCCGAGTAAGTACTTTGGGGCGAGTATTGGTGCCAGAAGCATGCTTCTATCCTTTGGACTCCGAGTGGCTGGCGGTTGGGGCGCTGTTGATGTCAGGGAAGTTCTAGAGTTATGCGCATGTGCGTATGACATGGTGGTCATTCTATTCCGAGTTTTGGGGGGCGACTATGGGTGCCAGGAAACTCATAGAGGTGTGTTCAACATGGTGATCCTTTTGACTCCCAGTGCTAGGAGTCGTCTACTGGCGCGGTCTTAGTGAAACGTTCTGAGTTTTTTTCGCCCGGCGGTGTTGCTGCGTTGTTGTTGTTGCCCTCGTTGTCGTCGTCGTCATTGGTATAGACTTCCTCTTACAAAGCGGTATGACCTCTGGCCAACGCCCCTCAAACACGTACTCTTGTACATATTTCCGCGGTTGTGGCAGCACGTATGGAATGGAAAGGAATCTTTGTCCTTACGTACCCCACCAAAATGACAACAGCAGCATCACCTTTGTGCGTTCGTGCGTACGTAGTGTGTTTTCTTGAGTGCGTTTTCTTGCCACACCGACCCTCTTCAACAACACAGCAGCGACGCCTGTTCGTTGCTTCAGGCTTGGTGATGTGCAATCCGGCGTTCTCCGTCTGTAGGGGTGCGAGGTCAACGATCTAACGACTGACTACGGCATACACGGCTATTGTTGTACCCCCACCCCGTTCCCCCCGTCTCCGCCAACAAGGTGGTGGAGAACCGTTTGCGATCATTCGACACGGCGGGCGCCAGGGTCCGCAACATGATGCTCGAGCGCCTGACGGCGGTCCTCTCGCGGCTCCGCACCTTCGAGCTCATCGAGGGCGGCCGCAAGTCGACCCTGCTGGCGTCCGCCACGGCTGCCTCCGCCGCCGCCGCCACCGCCGCCGCCGCTGCCTCGGAGCTGGGGGTCGTAGTACTTCCATCGGGTCCGCTGATTCGTCCACCCGGCGGCGACGACGACAATCACGCAGAAGACGGCGATGGGGAATCTGTCGTTACCGGCGGCGGCGGCGGGAAGGAGAACCAGGGTTGTGGGCGTGACGGGGCCGGGGACGGGGATGACCACGACGACAACGGCGGGGGCGAGGATGCCCGTCCGGGGGGGGCGGGGCGGCGATCGTCTTCCCCTGGTCCCGTACTATCCTCGCGCGCCGGTTCCGAGGACGGCGGCGGTAACCCCCCCACACACGACCAACATGGCGGCAGCGGCGACGCCGAATTGTCGGAGGTCGAGCGCTGGCTGCAGTTCCGCACCGCCGATCTGGTTTCCTTCGTGGGAGGCGCGCTTCAGGCCGGGGACATCCAGGCCGCTGCCGTTACCTGGCGGCGGCACGGCCGCACCGATCGCTGGGGCCGGTCGAGCGGCGGCGGGGAGCGGCGGCGGGGGGCGGGGGCGGCGGCGGTGAGGATGGGGGCCGGCGGATGGGGGTGGCTCTGCCCGGGCAGCTGGCCAGCGTCCCGGCGGGCGCCCCGCCGCTGCTGCTCGGAGGGTGGCTCAGGGACGAGGTGCTGCCGTGGCTGGATGCGGTCGAGGTGGTCGCGGTGAGTGATTTTTTTCTCCGAAGAAGGAGGCGGAGGGGGGTACATACCTATCTCACGGGCTTGGTTGAGTCATTTTGACTTGTTGGTTCTGCCGACTCGGAGCGCGCTATTGGTCCTAAGTTGCAGGAGTATACCGCTGCCGTTGGTAGGGGAGGGTGGCGTCGAGGAGATCTGATGCGTGTAGCATGTGAGCAACGGTTGTGCCCGTGGCGGCAGAGTTGTTGCGGGGGGTTACATGGATGGGATCAGAACAGGTGGGGAAGGGTCAAACAAGCGTGCTCGTTGGCTGGGCGGCATGAAGGGTAAGTTCAAATCTGCTCCGAAACCTTGAGAAGACTGGTCCGTTTGCTCTTTGTTATTTGTGCCTCTGGCTTTGCCTCTACCCACTCCATGGGATCCGTAAGTGCCGCGGCCAGCCCTTTCACCCATCGACACTTTCCGGTGAACGTAAGTCAGAAAGTCGAGGCTCCGATTGCTATGCCCCCATGGTCAAGGATTTCAATCCGCTCTGTTGACTTGAAGAGCGAAGAAAGGGGGCGTTAAATAGGCAGAGGTCACGTCATATCGTCAGTGGTTCAAGCTTGGAGACAAGGACCCACCGACGCGCCCACCCGTCCATGCAAAGCCTCCCACACACACCGACGAAAAACATGACACCTATGTGACGTCCTTGAGCATCCATGGGTGCCCATCGACGACGCTCTCATCCGCCCATACAAAGCCCCACAACGACCAACATGCCACCTGTGTGGATTACCGGACCCATCTATGGTACACCCATCGAAACCGACGCCCATGCGCCCATCGACGAGCTCACCCGTGCCCGCAAAGACCCGCCCTCCCGCCGATGATAGTGTTAACCGTACACATACGTAGCGAACCAACTCGTTGGAAAGATCTAACCGCAAATGAAAATATCGTTCATAATGAATAAAAAACAGGTCCGCAGCTGGGCCGTGGACCACGCGCGAGAGGTGGAGTCTCTCGAAAAGCGCCCCCATGGCGCCCTACTATTCGCCAGGGCCGTCGCTCAGGGGTCGGGCCGCGTCCTCGGTTCTGCGGCGGGACTGCTGGCGATTCATTCGGCCGAGCTGGCGGCGGCGGAGGCTGAGGCGGCGGCCAGGAGGACCGGCCCGTCCGACCACTGGAAGCGCTGGAAGCCGGACGGGCTGGATGCCTTGGGGAAGACTCTTGGTAAGGCTGCACGGCAAGCCAAAATCCTTTATGCACCTTTTTTATTTTATGGTTTTTAGAGCTTTATTGTAAAGCCAATACAATGTTGAATATGTAGAGACTTTTTCTATAACCGTACTGAGTCCTGTTCAATAAACGCCTTTACCAAACTGGATTAAGAGGAAGAAAAAATGACCGGGGGGGCATGCTTCGAGCACTTGAATCCGCGTGCCCTCTAGGCAAAGGTAGAAAGGTGTTCCGGCAGGGGATGAGAAGGAGGGGGGGGGGGTCGCCGTTTTGGTGTCGCTTGCGTATGGGTGGCAGTTGTTGGTGCCTTTTTGCTGTTGTTGCTGATGTTTCCGTGGATTATTGTTGGAAGAGGGCTCTTGGCGGAAGGGTTTCAAAGTCGGCGGGGAGCACTGATTGTCGGGCATCGGGGAAAACATGAACCATCTTGCAAGCCGGCGACGTTTGACTAGGGTTGGATACGTACGTGTGCAGGATTGATTGATCATTTTTAGGTTCGATTTCTGCTGCTGTGTGGTGGGGGAATACCGTAGGGGACGCAAGGTACCGCACCCCCCCCCGGACCGATTTGTCAAAGCTCGACTACTCGACGATGAATGAAGAGGATGTCAAAATCAAGTGATGTGTTTCGGAGAGGTCTCGACGAGGCAGACGGTTCCAACGCCGCTATTTTCGACACCGCCGCTCTTTCTTCCGTGGAGTAATCGAGCCTCGGTCCAGGGGTTTGTGGTATCTTGTGTCGCCTACGGTAGGCCTCGGTGCTCGTTTGCGTAGGACCCACCCCTGCCTGGCGAAGCTTCAAGGCTCCCTGCGGTGGAGGAGCGCAGCTTTGGCCGGCGCTTAAGCGGTCGCGCTGATTGGTTTCGTCGTCGATGTTCTTGCTGTTTCTTTTTTTCCCGTGCCTTGACGCCAGACGACCTGACCCACGCCTGGGACGTGCACCGGCTCCGCCTGCCTCTGTCGACCTTCGAGAGGCTGCCGAGGGACGTCGTTCTGTTCCGCGTGCTGGATAGGGTGCAGGTAGGTCAGCGCGACTCTCTGTGGTCATTGTGATGATGATGATGGACGGTATGGCGGGTACGGTTTTTGAGGTGGTGCGGCTGCGTCCGGGAGGGGGGCGTAACGCCCGTACGCCGAGTTTGTAGTAGTTGCTGTTGTTGCTGTTGCTGTTGCTGTTGTTGTTGTTGTTTGTTTGTCTTGACGTTAGAAACCGTTCGGTGTACTCGTCGGCGTCTTCTGACATCGGCCGTTCTGGTCATACCAACGCGGACGGCCGCCTTCGGTGGTCACGGGGAACCCTACCGTACCTCTGACGTTGCTTCGTGATTGCTTTTGCATTGCTGTGATACTGAGGTTGCTCGTCTGTTTGACGAGACTTGGCCCCTTATCTGTGGTGCTTAATCTCTTCTGCTCTCGCCTTATTATTATTATTTTTCTTAATATGACAGAACGAATCCATCTCTATCATAGAAAAGAGTCAGAGACTTTCTTTTCTCTCCTCTTCGCTCCTGCTCTCCTCTGATGTGTGCTCTGCGTTCGTTCGTGTTTATTTTTACCCTTGCAGAGTCCGGATTGGCTCCCCGAGGAGATTAACCACCACGTCCTCCCTCTCGCCAAGCGCTACGGCTTGGACCCGGATTCGGTTCTGCTGGACTACATGCGTATGTAAGACACAAGCCGTGTCGCTATAAATTGCGTCCCCAAAAGTGAAAATTGTAACATACCCAAAACTGAAAAGTATAAAAAATACCCGACTGAAGAATAAATAAACACCCGAAACTGAAAAAAAAAAAAACACCCAAAACTGAAAATTAAAAAATACCCAAAACAGCAACAAACATCTATAATATCATCTTCTCTGTGCGTTGCGGAGGACGTTCTCTGAACTTGGCCAAGTGCTGTGCGTTAGTGGTTGACTGTCTTTTTACTTTGGGATCGATGTTGGGAGAGAGACACGTCGTCAGAGGTATATAGCGCTCGCGTGAGAGCAGCGCTGGGGTCGCGAGTTTGCGTGAGGTTTGAGATCTGACTTTCGTGTTGAGAGACCGTTGCTGATTCGTTGCGTCTTGGGTGGTTTCAGCTTGACGGGCAAATGCTTGGTTGAAGCCTCAAGAAACCCATCGGGTCACCTGCCGTCGCCGGTCAGCCGCGCCTTTTACGAGTTTAGGAAATGTTTCCCACCCAAACGTTGAGCGTTGCGTGCATATTTCTGCGGTTGTTGGCAAATGCCGTTGCGCAAGCTTGATGGCGACCGGAACATTGCCGGGACATTTTTTTTGCCGGTTCCTCGTATGTAACACATCGTACCGGTATGCCACAAAAGACCATCAAACGGACGAGACGAAACAAAAAAAAAACATTCACCCGCCACCCCAATCTTCTTGCCCAACCACCTATCCCCCCACCCCTCTCACTAGATGCGCTGAGACCATGGTGACCCGCCGCCGAGCACACAACAACACCTCCTCCGGGAGTTCCGCCGCTACCGCCGCCGCCACCGCCCCCGGTCCCGGCGGGGCCAACGGGGCGAGTGGTCTGACTACCGAGCAGCGAGCGGTGGCCGTTGCCCGGTGCATGTCACCCGGTGAAGGGTGTCGCTCGGAGCTCCGGTCGAGGGCGGTGCTGGCGCTCGCAAACGCGGCCTCTTTTCCATTCTCGGAGGGGCTCCGCGATCTGGTGCAGGTGAGTTTGGAGGCGCGGGGGGGGGGTTGCTCGTGTTTTGCATACCTTGGTTTTTCGACCATCGAGGCTGACTCTTGTACGGGCAACGATAAATTTGGCCCGCCGTCTTTTTTTTTCATCCATACGTGGATTCTTCCAAGAGGCAGACCTCTCACTGCATCACCACAGCGCGCTAACTCCCTGATGGTCGGATCGCCACGAGACCTTGAAAGCTGTAGCCACCACACCTGTGGGCGTCTTTGAAGCCTGTCGAGACAACTGTCGGGTCTGTGTGGGCCGATAAATGTTAGTCCATGCGAGGAACAGTGCGAATCCGTGCGGGTGGAGATTTCGCCCACGGCTTTTTTTTTTCTTCTATTTTCCGTGTATAGCGGTGGACAAAATCTACCAAACGAGCCGACAAACGGACAACAAACGGACGAACCAACCAACTAACGAACCGATTGGACGCCTTTCGTGGGAACGCTTTGCGCAGGAGGCGCTGTCGTGGGGTGGGGCGCTGGACGCAGAGCTGCGCCGCGCGGCGACGACGCTGAGCCTGTCCCAGATCGTGCAGCGGTACCACGTGAAAGGGTTCAACCTCGTCGACGCCCCTCGTGCGACACGCCTGCTCAGGTTTGGAAAAACTTACAAGAAGGACAGTCAGTTTTGTGGTGACGCGGTTGTCGGCGGCTGGTCGTGAGGTAACGGGGCAAGAGGGCTCGCGGAGCCAAATTATGGACGGGGGGGAGGGGCGGTACTCGCTTGGAAATGGAGCGCATACACGTGCGGTATTGCTGAGTGCCTCTGAATTTGGTTGCTGTCTGCTGCACACGCACGCGCGCGCGCCTTTTGCAGCCCGTTATTTGCCGTGTCGTTGTTCTAGGCTCTGTACGTGCTTGGTCGTGGATTGGCTATTAATAGTGGGTTGGACGCTTCCGTCCTCTGGTTACATCCGTCCCGTTGCCCCTCACAGACAGTAGTGGGAAGTTGCTTTGATTCCAATCATCTACAGAACTCTGAAGGCGGCTAGAGACGCGCAGTGTCTCTGAACCATCAACGGGCTTCGTTGATGCCATTGCTTTGAGATTTCCCCCTTCTCCTCCCCCCCTCCCCCGGCTGTCCCTCTATCTGTATCTCTGTTCTCTCTCCCAACTACTCTTTCGCCTTCTCTCTCCGTCTCTCTCTCTCTTTGTAATCTCTTTCACTCTCCCGGCCTAGGCATGTGCTGGCGCAGGTGCAGTGTCCGACTGCCCTGGACGATGGTCTGCAGGTGATGTGACGGAAATTCCTCGTTGATTTCGCGTAGCCCACCTGTGCTTGCTGTTGTCGTCGATGCTGCATTGGGTGGCACGTAGCTGGCATGTCCCCTGCCATCCTGTCCCCACACGCCAAGTCCGGACTAGGACGACCCGCCCTGCTACTGTTTATCCCCGCTCGTCTTTCGGGGGTCTCTTGAACCTTTGTGAGCTCTCGTGGACATAGTTCAGCTTGGCAATCTCGCAAGTTTCCTCGTCCTTCGTTCGAGTAATTTTCACCAACAACTCTTTCTCTGGCACTGCACACCGCAGTGTGGTGTTGACTCCCCCATGCTAAAGTTAACCGCGCTTCTTCTTGTTCGAGTAGTTCACCATATCGAGTTTTCTTTGGCACTGCACACAGCAGTGGTGTTGACTTGACCCCCCCCATGCCAAAGTTACGCAACCACCCTTCTTCTACACACCACGCCGCATGCACTACGTGCCCTCCACCAAGCAAAGCTGCCCTGCGCCCCTCCCGCTTCGACAGGTCGCCCACGCGTACAGCCACCTCAGCGAGACCAACGTCTACGTGGAGTTCCTGGAGAACCTCGCCGGATCGTACGCAGGGCGAGGCTCCGCCGACCCCGACCCAACAGCCGCGAACGGTAACGACGGCGGCGGCGGCGGCGGCAGTGGCATCATCTCCGAGATCTCCGGAAAGGCGGGCCCAGGGCGCGGCCGTAGTTGTGGTGGTGGCAGCCTGGCCGCTGACTTGGCGGCGCATCGGGTTCGGGTTGCGGGTGTGCTGCATCGGCTGCCGGCGGGTGACGCCAGGTGAGGGTAACTCCGGAGAGTCTGGTCCGGGGGGCGGTGGGCAAAAAAAAAAAGGGCCGGAGATGGGAGGGCGGGGGGGCCTTGGGGCCCAAATCGGGGTGGACTTGTGATCGTGCAGAGCAGGAATGCCTACTTCAGGTTGCCGGAAACGCGCCGCGCTTCGCTTCATATCCCTGCCCTACGGGGAGGTGCGAACGGGTTTATGAGGCACCGATCGGGTTGGCCTTGGGAGGGTACAGAGCACGCTACTGCTGTAGGTGGTTGTGGGGTTGATCCATACGTGCTTGCTCGAGATGCCGATGTTTATGAATGAGCGCTTCTTAAGACGGGGCTCAATGTGGTGCGTTTGGAATGCTTGCGTTGGTGGAGGTGGGGTGGAAATTTCTGGTGGTCTGTTGTAGGGTTAGTTGCGTCGAAACGATACGGCTGCGGGTGTGTCATTGATCGTTTCGTGAACACGTTTTTGGGCGTTGGCGAACCAGGGGAAGCGGGGCTTTTGCCGTCGTCTAGTATCGATGTTACAAGGACAGCAATAGCGGCGTCAGCAGCAGCAATAAAAACAAAAAGCTCCGATGCTAAGACCCTTCTTTATGGAAACGTAATCTTTGCAATTATATCTTGGCATTTTGACCCAAGATTTGCTCACAATATATCTCCGCGAAGATTTCCAGTATTGCAATTTATGGGTGAAATATCTTGAATGTTGAAAAAGCGGCGTGTCGCTCCTCTCTTCTGCTTGAAGTTGAAAAAGGCACAACGGCCACTTGGTCCACAGAAAATGCCAAGGTTGGGCGAAAAGTGAGCATGACGCAGTTGTAGAAGGGGCATCCCTCCCCCAGCTGTATTGCCTCAACACTGTGGGTGGATACTAGCGATGGGCGCCTACCTGGGGTGCAAAATTGAATCCGTTGCCCACGAGCTCATGTCAAGCGGAGAAACAAAACTGTTCCATTGCTGTCCAACTGACAAGAAAGTGCATCAACCCGAGGCCGATGGCACCCATGCACGTATCTCACGATGTAGCAGGCGTACCGAGGTCAAACCTCCGGCGCTGTCATCTGCACCCACGGATTTGGCTCGGGTGCCAACGGGTTGGGTGTGGGGTGATTCGATGAAGAGATAGAAGCGTCGCACACGACAGAGCAGTGTTGGCAAAACGTTCCTCCTGCTCTATTTTTCTACTTAAAAAAAAAGTACTCTTTGAACGGTCCCTCGACAGACTGGTGATGACGCACGTGGAACGAGCCAGGGCAAATACGCAGTTTTTTCGCGCGCCTTGGTTGTTTTCGTTCGCTGTCGGCGCCCGTGGCGCCGACACAGTGACGCCAGGGTGCGTTAGAGACCCTTGCGAGTGTGCCACGTGCAGATTTCATGGCGTTATGGACGATTAGGTTGACTGACCTTCGGTGATCGCGCCGCACTGAGGCAAGATTTGTTACGCCGCCTCAAGATTGGTCGGAAGGCTCGTTTCGACAGATCTTGGGTCAAGATTTGTTCGAAAGGGCAGATTTCGGGCCTCGAGAAATCTTGGCCAAGATATATCGGAAGATTTCGCTCTCATAAATCGTGAAACTGGCAGATCTTGGCCAAGATCAAGATTTATGGACAAGAGTTTGTTCCCATAAATCGGGGTCTAATGTACCCAATTCGTAGAAGAACACTCGACAAGTACTGCTGTAGCTTGTGACAAACGCCACAACAATTTTCGCACATCGACACCGCAGCTGCTGCTGCTGCTGCTACTGCTCACCCTGCTGCTGCTGCTGCTGCTGCTGCTGCTGCTGCTGCTGCTCTGCTTCCGCCTGTGCCGCTCTGCTGCCGCTGCCGTCCGTGTGTCCAGGCGCGTAGCGGAAGAAGTCCTCCTGTACCTCGTCCGCCTCCTCGAAGACCTGGAGCTCGACGCCGGCGCCGCCGGTCTCAAGCCCGGGCAGCTGTGGGGATGCAAGGCCATCTCGGCGGCAGAGGAAAACGGCACCGCTGCCGCCTTCGCCGCGGAGAACGCGGTGGTGGTTCTCGAGCCAGGGTCGGACGCCGAGGAGGCGGCGCTTGTTGCCTCGGCCGCGGCTGCGGTGGTGGCCTTCCTGCGGGAGATGCAGCAGCGGAGCGGCGGCGGCGGCGGCGGCGGCGGCGCGGGTGACTGGGAGAAGCTCGGGTGAGGGAGGACTTGTGTCGTTGTGTGCTTGCCGAAACGTTGCACAAGATGCTCACGCCGACCGAACTATTTGTCGCTCCACGACGGAGAGGATGTTGCAATCAGAATGATTGCGGTTTCGGCAGTCAATTCCAACGTCGCCATTCGTGGGCACCGTCGCGGCGCGAGTTTATCGGGCTTTGGATATCGATGCGGGGTGTGTGGTTTCGTACGCACCTTATCCATACGGTAGATGTTTTTCGTCCGCTTGTTTGTCCGCCCGTTTGCTCCTCTCGGTGTGGCGTTGTGCGAAAGGAAGGGGGCGGCGACGCGGGGGGGATACTCATAGTCGTGCATGCCGTAGTCGTTAGACCATTGACCTCGCATCCCTACAAAGCCGGGACGGAGCACGCCGGGTTTTCACCGGGCCAGGCTCTCACATCACCAAGCGCAAAGCGTCGTGAGGTATTCGGCGAGTCGCATGAAGGGTGCGCTGCATCCTGCTAAGGTTGTTCGGCATCTTGTGCTTACTTCCTTGCGTACGGATGACAGCTGCGTATGACTTAATTTATTTTCTGGTGCGTTCACTTCCAGAGACAGTTATAAGCACTGTGTAACTGCCTCGAGGATGCTTTACCAATTTAACACAACGTGGTGCGATCATCCCCCGTTGCGCGGAGTGAGGGTTCTCGACCCCGCACAACATGATCTACTTGACCACCATTCATGGTTACCGCAAAAAAAACAAACACAAAGGCACAAAAAAAAAGAAGTGGTAACCTGGTTGCCGAGTTCACGAAGTGACTTGGCTTGTTTTACAACGTCGTTGCCAAGCGACGAAAACCCAATCCCGATGGCAAACACCGAGCGGGGGGGGGGGGTATGCCCCTCGTTGTCGTGATGCCGATAGTTGTAGTCCTCGAAGCGTTGCATCTCCATGCACTGTTGTTCCGGTATAAGAAGCACGGTGGGTTTGCTGGCAACCTCAAGTAGCCGTTTGTTTTGTTCTGTGCGACCACAAGTCCACCCCGATTTTTTCCTCGAACCCCTCGCATCTCCCTGTTGCGCCGGAACATGAAGCGCGGCGGGTTGCCAGCAACCTGAAGTAGGCATTCCTCCTCTCTGTATTATCACAAGCCCGATCAGATTTGGGCCTGCTCCGTCACGGCTTTGTTGGGCTGGGTGGTCAATGGTCTCACGACTAATTCATGCACGTCTATGAGTCCCCCCCCCCTTTTATTTTGCAGTCCCTGGACCGGACGCTGCTTGAACCGAACCCCTCTGTCGCTTTGTCGATTCAATTGAGAGCTGCAACCTCGCGACAATGGCTAGCGACCTGTCCCCCCCCCCATTATTGCACCCCCCGGGCCGGACGCGGCTTGAACCGAACCCCTCTGTCGCTTTGTCGATTCAATTGAGAGCTGCAACCTCGCGACAATGGCTAGCGACCTGTCCCCCCCCCCCATTATTGCACCCCCCGGGCCGGACGTGGCTTGAACCGAACCCCTCTGTCTCTTTGTCGATTCAATTGAAAGCAGCAACCTCGCGACAATGGCTAGCGACCTGCGGAGGGTGTCCGCGCTGCAGACGGAGTTCGGCGCGTTCACGTCTCTCAAGACGCTCAACAATCCCCGGGGTCGCGCGTGCTGGAACACGATGAGGGAGGGGCTGGTCACCCTCGAGGAGTACCTTCACGGAGACAACAAGGTACGTGTCGATGGTGTTAGATGTTGTAGGTGTAGGTGTTGGTGGTGGTTGAGTAGATGCTTCACGTAGACAAGGCGTGCGTGTCGTTGGCGTCATGGTGCTGTTGAAGGTCTTGGTGTTCATGGCATCGGTGTGCAGCAGGTGGTGTTGGCGTAAACAGTGTTGGTGTAGATGGTTGACGGAGAGACAACGGTGCGTGCCTGTGGTGTTGTTGGTGATAGTGTTAGTTTCATGGCATTTGTGTGGATGGTGTCGGTGATGGCGATTTGTGTAGATGGTACTAAATAATAGCGCAAATGGTGTTTGGTGTAGATGCCTAACGGAGACAAGGTGTGTGTGTTTGTGAAGACGGTGGTGTGGTTGGTGTTGGTACTGATGGTTTTTGTGTAGATGGTTTTCGTGTTGGTCGGTGATAGTGTAGATGATGTGGTTGGCATGGACTGCTTGGTGTTGACCGTGGTGGTGTTCCTCCGCGGGCGGTGCTCCTTGTCCCTTCCTGTTGTTGTTGTTTGGTAAATTGGTTCTGGTCGGGACGGACAAGTCAGATGAATCCTCAGAAACACGTACTCAGCCCGTCCGCCGCTGGCGACAATGCACGCTAGACCTGCATACGACCTAGAGCAAATAATTTTAGAAAGTGAGACAACACACTCACGGAGCGGCTCTGCCGAGGGGGGAGGGTCCTCTGTCAAGCCTGCTGTAATGCGGCTAGTGCTGGTCCTTTCCCCTCCCTCGATTATGTGTTTTTGTTTGCTGCTGCCCATTTGTGCCTTGAGACGTTGGCCGAATTGTTTTGGCACAAGCATGTAGCATATTCACGTGCTTTTGCAGTTCCATCAACCTCATGCAGACACCCCACGCGCTCCGTTCTGTCCCTCCGCTGGTGCCGCTATGTTGTTGTTGCTGCCGTTGGAAGGCCGGGAGCGTACCGAGTGCCGGTAGCAAGGGAAAGAAGACCGCTGCTGCCGCGCCTGCTTCCCGCGGCGCTAAGAAAGGTGGCGGACCCGGTGGAAGTAGCAGCTCTCGCAAGGCGACGGCTAGCGCTCTCCCACGTTTGTTGCACAGGTGAGAGTGAAGGGGGGGGGGTACTCATGGTCGTGCATGCCGTAGTCGGTAGACCATTGACCTCGCATCCCTACAAAGCCGGGACGGAGCACGCCGGGTTCGCACCGGACCAGGCTCTCACATCACCTAGCGCGAAGCGCCGTGAGGTATTCGGCGAGTCGCATGAAGGGTGCGCTGCATCCTGCTAAGGTTGTTCGGCATCTTGTGCTTACTTCCTTGCGTACGAATGACAGCTGCGTATGACTTAATTTATTTTCTGGCGCTTTCACTTCCAGAGACAATTGTAAGCGCTGTGTAACTGCCTCGAGGTTGCTTGACCAATTGAACACAAGGTGGTGCGATTATCCCCTTTGCGCGGAGTGAGGGTTCTCGACCCCGCACAACATGATCTACTTGACCACCATTCATGGTTACCGCAAAAAAAAAGCGGTAACCTGGTTGCTGAGCTCACGAAGTGATCGGCTTGTTTTACAACATCGCTGCCAAGCGACGAAAACCCAATCCCGATGGCAAACACCGGGGGGGACGGCTTGTTTTACAACGTCGTTGCCAAGCGACGAAAACCCAACCCAGATGGCAACCACCGTGTGGGGC